AAGTAAAGATGAAATTGTGCTCGTTTTAAGCTTATTTCTCAACTTAGTTTTCATTAGATTAACCTGTGAAAATATCCGTTCAACATTGGCTGATGAGTGAGGTAAAATAAGCAGGTTACAAATAAAATTGGTTAAAATTGGAAACATGAATGTATCGCCTCCATATTTCGATATTTGGAGTTGGCTCCAAAACTTCAATATTTCCACATTTTTTAAATTTCTTCAACATTTCGCTACAGACGTCACTCTGTGTCCAGACCTTGTCATTCACTATCAGTTATTAAATTTGGAAATATCATTGCAACATCAGAAATAGATTGTAGGTTTTATTATTTTAAGTATTCCACGGATAATTTTTAAAATTTTATTTGTTACTTTTCGGGAGAAATCTGCATGCATCGGTAGATCGGTAGGTTCCTTGACAAATCGGTAGACTTGGCATCTCTGAACGACAGCCACATGGCGAGTTTCATTTTTCTTCCCGCCACCAACGCGCCTCTTGCATTTGTTTACCGAACTAATTTTATGGTCAAGGCTATCCCATTGAGTTGTCATGGGGGTGGTGATATTGTTGCAACCTTCACGTCACGAAAATAGATGTCACAGTGTGCGCGAGCTTTGACGTCTCGACACGTGACATTCACGTCAGGAAATTAGATGTCACTGTGTGAACGAGCTTTAAGTGCCGATGCGTTTGGGAGCAGCAATGGTTTCCCTCTATGGGAGATTAAGACTGGGAGGGTAAAGTTGGTACCAATCGATATTTCGACTGTTTGCCCTGTATGTGGACAACCTGTGTTAACTTCTACATACTGTGAATCATTGTCGCTCCCCTAGAAAAAGCCTGTTTAATATCAGAAGCAGGAGGGGGTTCATAAGCAAAAAAGCGGTTAGGTTTATACAAGAGAGTGATTCTGGCCCGTTCGGGCTTTGATTATGAACACGCTCCTGGGTAATCAATCAATCAATCTGGATAGTTGTGTGGTGTTTGTCTAACGGACGCAATTGACGCTTTTTTCAGCTGCGGTTCTGGCCAGCCAACAAGCTGCAGCCGTCACGGTAATCAACCCATACCCGACCAAATAAAACCGCGCAACGGATCACAACATTACATAAACGGTGTCGTAGAAAGTGACTGTTCATGAAGCATTCCAAAATAGATGTGTTTGTAACTGGTCGCCGCTGGATCCGCATGGATGTGCTTTAGTGTTTCTGAAGGGTAAAACTGACCAGTGGCGCAAAACCGGAGAGGAGTGTGAAAGCTATTTTGTACCGTTTGCGGTCATGTGAAATAAATCAGTGACGACTATTTTCCCTGTAAATAGTGTAAAGGCATACCTGCTGTCTTTAGCAAAGTCGTACAGTATAGTAGTAGACTGATAATTTACAGTAATTAGGGCGTATTTTTTATTGTGAAAGTTTTTTGCTCGATTGATACGTGAGTGCTTATCGATGCATTAGTGCAACAAAGACTTTACTACATTTTATTGGAAAGCGATACACGCGTACTTTCCTTAGTGCCGTTTCAGTTTTATTGACTCGGCCGGTGTTTTTCCTTTTGAACTGTTCATTTTCGTTTCGACGTTGCAGTCTGTACAATCCGTAATGTTTCTGTAACAGCGTCTTGAACATGACAAAAATCTCGATTGGTTTCATACGAACGTCAACGAGAAATGGCGCACTCGCGCTTCAAGAAGCCTTCACGGAAATGTGTACTAATATTAATGCTAAATTTACGATATTTATATTAATTTACACTTTAAGGGTCATTTTAGTTCTAGTGTATATACAAATCAGTTCGATGGTATTGTTTGCTACCGCATCAGAACGGAAAAATTACCTCCTGTACAGACTACAAAGGGGCTTCAATGTAAAATTGCTTAATAAAAATCATTCATAGAACTCGTTTTTGTTTCACCCAGGTTAGACGTCTGTCCCTTGTATCCATTTAGACGATGTTAAACTGTTTCTATTCTGATCTGTCAATTCGTATTAGATTTTATGCTGATGTTTAACAGTTTTTCGGTTTTGTCAGACGTTGTGTGTTTAACTTATGAATGGACGTATTTGTTGACAAATCTGTCAACGCGGCCATAGCATTCTTCAGAAGCAAGCAAGACGTATGTTATGACGTGAATGACGTTCCGGCTGTACATTTAGTCAGTGCACTTGGTGATGTGGATCACCACAAAATTATTTTTGGTGGGTCTACTTTTGCCCATCGCGCTTGATTTGACTCGCATTCGCAATTAGTTCCGATTCATTGTTTATAAAACCGGTCGACCATAGGCGTGTGTTGACGCCACATTTGAAAACCTGAATTACTATTTAATAATAGTTCCGATCATATAATAAGGACAAGGTACCAAGTAATTAAATCGGGCTGAATACAGCAGGCGAGTGGCAAATTGACACAAGCGAGGAGCTTGACAGCTCTGGCTCTCAACAACTAAGCGTTTTGACGCGGGAATGACATGAATGAACTAAGGGCCAACTGCACCGCTTCGGCTTAGGAGTTAAGTGTCAACTTAAACTATTAAGTTGACTGCACCTCAGTTTAAGCGCCACTTAAACCAGTCTAAGTGGCACTTAGCCTAAGCCGTACTCGCGGTTCGGCTTAGCCATAAGTGGGACCTATACGCAAGCGTCGCGGGTTGATTGACGGGTTACAAATATATACATAACCAAAAACAAACTGTTGAAATCACGTTTAGGTTCATTCTTGTTCGGCGGATATCTGATAGGGTCATGGCGTTCTTTATGAATTCTTTAATATGGAACGATGACGACGATATAGATGAATTGGAGATAATTGAATTTGGCGTGCCAAGGCGGATTAACAATCGTGCAAATCCTTTTCATGATTTGGATGATTACACATTTTTTAAAAAGTTTCGACTAACCAAAGAGACTGTAATGGTACAACTAATATATTTATATAAAACCACCAATTCTATTTTTTTCTTTTATTCGGATTTATTTTTTTTAAATTCGGCTTCCTTAAGAGCAATGCCTAATTGTAAACATTTTACTTTTAGAGCATGCTCTGCTTCTTCTCGCTCTCTTTTACGGTCTGTCGCTTTCATTTCTGACGTCCTTAATAATTTCATTACAAGGGTCCTGGGAAGGTGTAAATGCTGCACCACCGCCGGTCTGTATTATCGATTTTTTTCTTGGGACACAATCATCCCGGACTTCTTTTTCTATTTTCGTATCACTTCCACAAAGATTCTTTACTGCGGAAGACTTTACTTGGTGACGAGGCGTTGAAATCGGCAGCATAAGAATGCGCACTTCCAATTAAATTAGTGTAATTAGTAAAAAGATTGGGTGATTTAGTATTTTCCGATTTCATTGGGTATTCCATTTCATTTAATTTTTTCGCACTGAAAACACATTACACAGATTTACACGCTTTTAATCGTCTTCAAAATAAAGTCCAACGATCGTTTTCTTGCAGACGTTTCTGTCAGAAGCTTTCAACTTAGGCAGGTAAGAAATCCCCTAAAATTATCAAAAATCCCTGAACTAGGTGGAACTTAGTTAAGCGGATGATAAAGTTGAACGGTGCAGCAGATTAGTTTTAACCCCCGGTTGCACCGTTTTCGCTTTAAACACGGATTATATCTTAACCGGTGTTTAAAAAAAAATGTGTTGCACCGTCGCAAACTAATCGTCTGTTAGTTAATCAGAGAATCACTATGGCACCTCCGCTTTTGTCTAACAAGGTCTGAAATAGCTGAAAAATACGACCAACTGCTTGATAAACGGCTAGAACTAGCAGATTTGCAGAAAAAGAAATTGGAAGAGGAATTGTTAATG